TCTATTTTTGTTCATCAGTTTATGTTGTTCATTATATTCCACAATTGAGTGGGATCATGTGATATTTATCTCTCTGACTGGCTTATTTTGCTTAGCATAATGGTCTCCAGGCCCATCCATGCTGTTGCAAATGGTAAGAGTTCCCTCTTTATTTTTTACAATAGTATTGTATTCCATTGTGTAGATGTTCCATAGTTTTTTAATCTACTCATCTGGTGATGGGCACTGAGGCCGTTTCCAAATCTTAGCTATTGTAAACTGTGCTGCTATGAACATAGGGGTGCATATATTCTTTCTGATTGGTGTTTCTGGTTTCTTGGGATATAGTCCTAGAAGTGGGATTACTGGGTCAAATGGGAGTTCCGCTTTTAAATTTTTGAGGAAATTCCATACTGTTCTCCACAGTAGCTGCACCAGTCTGCATTCCCACCCACAGTGTACGAGGGTTCCCTTTTCTCCACATCCTCTTTGTTGATTTTTTTAATGATAGACATCTTACAAGTGTGAGATAGTACCTCATTGTTGTTTTGATTAGCATCTCTGGGATCATTAGTGACTTTGAGCATGTTTTCATAGGTCTCTTGGTTTTCTGTATGTCCTGTTTTGAAAAGTGTCTATTTAGGTCCTTTGTCCATTTTTTTAAAATTGTATTGTTTATCTTTGTTTTGTTAAGTTGTATGAGTTCCCTGTAAATTTTTTAAATTGTTTTATTGCTTAAAGTATTACAAAGAGTATTATATATGTCTCCTTTTTTTCCCGCCCTTGACAATCCCCTGGCCTCCCCTACCCCCCAGTGTCTTATGTTCCCTTTAAATTTTGAAGATGAAACCCTTATCGGAGATAACATTGTCAAATATGTTCTCCCATGCAGTGGGCTTTCTTGTTGTTTTGTTGGGATGGTTTCTTTTTCTGTGCAGAAGGTTTTTATTTTAATGCAGTCCCATTTGCCAGGTACCTGCTTCTGACTGGGGATTGAATTCGAAACCCTTTTTGTGCATGGTGCGTTCTAACCACTGAGTCACACTGGCCAGGGCCTTAAGTGAGGGGTGTGTGTGTGTGTTTGTGTGTGTGTATGTTAATGAAAAGTGCTTAGAACAGTGCCTGGTTTATAAGCTTGGCTTCCCCTAAAATGGAAGGAAGCTCTGAGATTCCTTTGAACTAGATGGGACTAGATTGTAAGCCAGTCGTGGCTGCAGTTATTTTGCTGGACTGAGTTATCAGTACGTCCCATTTCCACCCCATGGAATACAAGGTTGATAACGTTTTAAGTGGAAAAGCACCATTCCTATGTTCTGACTTAGCTTTCCCATCACGTTCCAAGTGTGTCAACTAACCAAGTAGATAACATTAACTGTAGAGAATCAAGAGCACAGTAATCTGTGTGCATTTTAATGCCCGGAAACATGATCTTGTATGAAATGTTTGTCATTGCAGAGAGTGAACAAAGTGTGTGGGGAAAGTGGTCCCAAAACAACACTTTTTTTTGAAAAAAATTAACTAGATAATGAGACATCCACAAGACTGAGCTGAATACTTCCTTGTTTCATGGTAGAAAAGAATTTAAGAATAAAAAAAAAATATCATGACTTTGACCCTCACTTGGCAAAGAGGCTGAGCTCAAACTTTCATTCCAAAAGAAGTTCTTTCTTCCAGGGGGAACCTAGGAGCTGGGCGTCTGCAATGAACGTGCTTTGGCTGCTCTTGGTGGGTGAAGCAGAGGAGCTGGGAGGGAGGCCCTCGGTCCAGGGCTGAGATCCGGGCCGTGAGAGGGAGGCGGAGGGCAGGACATGGAGGGAAAGGCCGGCGTCTGGGAGGGCGTGCGGCAGCGGAGGGCTCGGTGGTGCCAACTCCTCTCCTTTCGTCGTCCCCATGGGCTCCGCTCCGGTTGGGGACCGTTAACCCCGAACGCGGGCCCTGCCCTGCCCTTTACCTCTCGGGACACAACCCTCCCCCGACGCCTCTGCCCAGACCAGCGCCTCTCGCCCCCGGTGCGCGGGTTGGGGCTTCGCCTGGCGACCGATGGAAGCGGAAGCAACGCGGGACTGACGGTGATGCGCGTGCGCAGCCGGGGACTGAGCCGCCACATTTCCAGCGCTGACCGTCCGCGTTGACCAGTCGGTTACCCGGGACAGCGCGGCCGCTG